AAAAGCTCAGTCCTACAAGGAATCATGAATAAACTTCCTAAAGAAAGTATAAAAACAAACTTCATGCACCTGTGTCCAGGTTTTGATTGGCAGTTCAGTGATCTCAATGGTGGTAGAGTCAATGATGGCCACCTCTCCATTATTCACATACTGATTCTTCGCCAGTTCATCAATGGTGCCTTTGAACCCCTTATAGCTTGGCAGCTAGACATAAATTGGCGAAATGAGTACATCAACCAGTTCTGGTTTAGAACGATATGCATTATGAAAACAACTATGCATTTATGGTAATTAAATTTAAAACATGAATTTATTTTTACCATGGGAAGTGGATCTTCTCCATTGAGCATGCGGCGAATATTGTTGATGATCTCTCTCACGTCATAGTTGGGGATGCGGCTGGCCCATCCTGTGCCGATGCCCTCACCTCCATTAGCCAGCACCAGAGGGATGATGGGTATGTACCACTCTGGCTCCACTCGCAAATTATCATCAAAGTTATACTTCAACAGGTTATCGTCCACAGCAGGAAACAGCAGACGAGCAAGTGGACTGAGAATAAATAAAAAACAATTTTGTTTTACTTTACTAGATATGAAATTTTTATTTGCTAGCCATAACCATTAGCCGTGTGCATCAGTGTACCTGAGCATAGTAAAGATGTATCTGGGGCTGGCAGAGTCTTTGCCTCCATGCAGACGTGTGCCAAACTGACCCAGAGGCTGAAGCAGGTTCAAATTATTACTGCCCACAAAGTTCTGAGCAAGACCCACAATGGTCATCATCAGAGAGACCTGAGGAAGAGAAAAACATTTAAATAGTTGTATCTTGTGAAAGCTACCAGGTTCACTGGACAGTTGTTTGATAGAGACATCTTAGCATAATTTTACTTTTGAATGTGTGTTTTCATATTTATAGTGGGGTAGTGTCTTGCTAAAAGCAAAAGCAATGTGACAAGATTTTCCATATACAGACTAAACAATGAATGAGGTGAGTGGAACAAAAGTCCTCACCTCTCCATGGTGGTATGCTGACATCTCGGCCACTGATCCAGCCAACTGAGCCACTTTCACCTCTCTTTTATCATTCCTCTTAAAACAGCAGAAAAGCACTTTCCTTTGGCCTGGTTTTAGACCTGAAACATACATACATATTTATCTGCATCTTTGTTCAGTAACTCTTTGCTTGTATTGTGGGATTGCCTTGACCATGAATGATACATGCAATGCTAGATTTTAGTTAATCTTATAAAAGCAGCATAATTGCATTATTTTACTAACTACCCTTTGTTAGCCTATAAAACTATAAAAAAAAAAAAATTCAACAATGACAATTGTAATGCTGGGGAAATTCAGGTTTCTCACCATCCACCAAGCAGGGGATTGATCTCTCGTTGTCAGAGTTGGAGAACAGCACAAGCTCTTTATTGATAAAGTCATGGTAGGAGAGGGATGAGGTTTCCTGTCCGTACAGGTACTCCTGCACAAAGCAGAAACAAGATCATGCTTTCTAATGGCACACAAAAGTCAACTCCAAATTTCCCATTAAAAAAAAAACTCCACATTGATTTAAATTTTTTTTTTTTAGGGTTATGGCACCTCAGGCAGGTTGTGTTCTCTGCGCTGACGTCTGTTGATCATGAAGCTGGTCAGCCATTCCTTCCTCTCATCTACCATCTTCTTACTAAAGGCCTGCAGATAGACACAAAAAAAAAAGTCATAAATATCATCTTTAGGAAACGTAATTTTATATTCAAAGTTGCTCGATTGTGTCCACTGCAAATTCAAACGGAGACATGGTTACCAGGGTGATAGCTTCATCATCGGCCGGCCCAGAGTACTTAAAAGGGATTCGGTGTCTCGTCATATCCGAAAAATACTCTTTGGCCTCCTTAGATGTGCTGGTACCCAAACCTGGAGAGAGGCAGATAGAAAAATACATGAGATATTTGCAAATGACTGTATACATGCATGTTTTAGAACGACTTTCAAATGTTATTGCAAACACCCAGTGTGCTGGTGACCCAATCTGTGCCCCCTTCACTTTCTACATCACTTGAACACATAAGGAGGACAGAGTAAAAACACTGCTTACGTTTGCCAGTGGACTACCACAGGTGTTTTAGACAAACCTTTGTAGTATTTGATCTTCCAGGATTTGGTGCTACTTTGTTTCTCCTTCCACTCATTGAACTCTGGGATACTGTAGAAAGCAAGCTCCTGCTTTTTATTGGATGCCTAGAGAGCGACAACACCGGCAGTCAATGAAACGTTTCCACAACAAGCATTTGTGCATATTGTTGATGACAAGGGCAGCTGGAATCTACCTTGATGATGGGTGTGATAAACTCTTCTAGGAAGTTGTGGCGCAGCAGTGACGGCCAGTTATGATGGATAAAGTTGATGAGAAGGCCTTTAATGTGAGATCCGTCTTGATCCTGCAGAAATCACCCATCATTACACATACAACAAACTACACCCTATATTCTGTAACAGGCACACTGTGTACAGTCTGACCTGATCTGTCATGATCATGAGCTTGCCGTAGCGCAGGCTCTTGAGTGACTCAGGGTCACTGTAGTTCTTCTTGTACTGCAGACCCAGGATCTTTATGATGTTGTTGATCTCAGCATTCTCCATGATCTGCAAAAAAAAAAAAAAAAAAAATTTTTTTGCTTTTGTGGGGTCTGTTATTGATACAACCCCATGAAGTAGGACTGGGCTATATGACCTAAAATCAAAACCTCGATTAACTGAACACTTTACCTCGATTACAATTATTATATATTTTTTTTATTTTAATTTATAATAACTATTTTTTTAAGTTATATTTATGGTTTTATTTTTTACGCCTTTATTGTGAGAGGACAGTGAAGAGCTGACAGGAAAGCAATGGGAGGAGAGAGGGGAGCAGGATCGGCAAAGGACCTCGAGGCGGGATTCGAACTCAGGTCGCCGTGAGCACAGTTGTGCTATATGTTGATGCACTAACCACAAGGCTATGGGCACCGACTCAATTACAATTATTTATTGATTTTTCTTGCCCTCATGGTTCATTAAAGGTTTGTACTGCAAATATACTACTATTAAAGTTATAATAAAATTAAACTATTAAAGGTGGGATTTTTTTTCTAATGAAGGAGTGCATTTCTTATCTTTGTGACTTTTAAAATAATTGAAGGAAACAAATGTGTGGTTATTTGTTGAATAATTCGAACAATTAAAATCAGAGCTTGCTTGAAATGAAGACGTCTTATGAAAGTCACATTTCAGTTTTATTAATTTTTTTGCAAAAAAAAAAATTATAAAAAAAATAATGAATATTGCCATGTCAAAAGTAGAAAATAACCAGCACCTCTTTCAAACAAAATAACCTACTTTTTAAATATTGTCATACGAAAAGTAGAAAATAACTTGTATCTCTTGTAAATTAATATTTTAAATAATGCATTGTGAAAAGTAGAAAACAATATTTTGCATCTCCTGTTAACAAAAGTTTTAAATAATGAATGTAAATACAACACTGCTGATTAAGAGAAAGAGCAGGGCACCATCTCAGTGATCTTGTTCTGTCACTCTAAATGCGCAAGTATTTACTCTAAGTTCTTACTGGCCATTCACACAGAACATGTCTTTGCGTCTAAAACCGTGAGATGCAGCGCTCAGGAATGGTTTTTAAAAAAGCGCAGTGCAGAATGCCTCCTCCACCATGTCGTCAAATACAAAACTTGCCGTGCCAACCTGCTACTATAAACAAAAACTCGCAGCGCTTGCCCCGCCTCCGGGGTCTCTGATTGGTCCACTGTTTTGGAACTGACATTGATGAGCGGCACTGCATGTAAAAGTTGAAATTCTTTTAACGGGACACAGCGTCTTAAAAAACGTGGCACTCATGTGTGAGACACTGCAACAGTCATACACCTCTACAATTAAAAAGTAATGCATTGGAATGGAAAATAATGTGTTCTGTGTTAACAGCCCCCAAGAGATCTCAGTTAGGCATCAGCTTTGCCTCACATTTGTCTAAAATAAAAATATATACAAATGAGTCAATAGTTGACATAGAGCTATAAAATAAATGCATAACTATTGGTTAGAGGTTCTGAATTTCGGTTTTGATTTCTTTTCGATCAATCATCCAGCCCTACCATGAAGCACTCATTAAAATTCTTTTGAATTTACCGACCTGTTTGTGTGATGCCTCTCGAACATTGAGCATTTTACCACGCAGAGGGAAGACACCATAGCGGTCACGTCCCACCACACCTAGACCCGACACGGCCAGAGTTTTGGCCGAGTCTCCTTCTGTCAGGATCAGAGTGCAGCTATTGGAGTTCTTTCCACCTGAAACAAACCAACAATCCTGAAATTAACATCCAGGCTGAAAGTGTTTTAATATTTTAACAGCACAACAAACCTTGTTACCTGCATCGTTGGCGTCATCCAGCTTGGGTACTCCTTTAATCTTAGTGTGTTTGACAGCAGAGCATTTCTTATTGAGCTGAGCCTGGGCTTTAAACTTCACCCAGTTCATAATGCTCTCCACAATTCCACAGTTATTAGCCTACAAACAAGACACAGAGGGGTGAATTATCCAAGGAGTTTATGCAGCTGTAAAGCATCTTAAATCACAAACTACCTGCTAGTGACGAATTACCGTATTGGCCCGAATATAAGACGACCCTGATTATAAGACGACCCCCCTTTTTCCAGATGTACCTTTTGGAAAAAGGCTTTTTAAAAAACAAATCTTGTTTTTTTCTCAGTAAAACACGGTACCAATAAGGGTAAAATTTAACAGTCCTTGATACCAACTTCAATGCATACCAATCACCAATTTGGAATTATTTAACTAACTAAATCATGGCAGCAGCAATTCATCAAATATTGGAAAGAGGAGCATTGAATCCAAATTATACAGCATGGTTCAGGCAATTCAAGATGGTTTAAGAGTCACATTTCTCACCTGTTTAACAAACTTGTCACTCAGAGGGCAGGTGGAACCGAAATTCTTCTGCTGTAATGTCATGTTCTCTTTGGTCTGAGAGTCAAAGCTGGGGTTCTCAATCAGACAGTTCACAAACAACCACACGTGGTTCTTCACCTGCACACGCAGAGTCCAACCAGCACTTTACATCTGACCACAAAATTACAGTGCCATAATCTTTGAGATGTACAAGTTTTAATAATCATCAGGATGTACCTGGAAAGGTTTGACAACCACTCCAGCCTTGTTCTTCTTTTTTACCACTTCAATCAGTTTGGACACAATCTGGTCTGCAACATATTCGGTGTGTCTGCCACCCTGAAACACACAACATCATATTTAAAGCACTTTCCACTGTCAACAAAGTATCCAAGAAAGATATGTCCATCATGTTTACAGGTCAACAACATTTAATGGAATTTCAGATAGCCACCCAGTTAAGGCCCCTACAAAAACAACACTACAGCATCCACACCAATGTATGTTAATATTCTTATGCAAATATTCAGTTAAAGTCAGATAGAATTAGAGTGGCTGTCAGTGTCTTTGTTCATCAGTTGGAGGTGGAAAAAGCAACAGTATCTTTCCCGCCCCATTATCATTAGCTCTTACAGTTATCAGGGTTTCTGCAGGATTTTTAAGCTCAAATTTAAGACTTTAAGACCTTTAAGACCTGCACAAATAAAAATAATACCATATGGAGCGGGGTAGGGCAATGTCTATAGTACCATATTAAACTGTAAAATTACTGTAAAAAGCATAATTTACAGTTTAGATACAAGTTTTCACAAAAACATTTATAAAATGATAAATCTTACATTTTAGCCTTTAAACCATTTTAAAGAAAATGGATGAGTCAAAAGTATTAATTATATTAATTTAAACAATTATCATCAATAAATTATTATAGCAATTAAATAACAAATTAGGGGTATGATATAAGTACGATATTGACAAAAAATGATCTCGATAATTTTCTGGGATTTTATCGATGACGATAATTAGATGATATTTTTATGATAAGCATGTTATTGTGCTGATATCTTAAGGACTACCGGGGACAGATGACTCCTGAATTTTTTGATATTCTTCATACAGTATTCTGTGTGGTCAGTTCACAGCAGTGATAGCAATTAATAATTTCCAACAAGTTTTATGGGCATTTTTACCTTTAAGCCATTTTTTCTAAAAGTGTGCACCATCTTTTGAGTGAATTTCTTGCATTTGGGCTGTTACCAAGCATATGTAAAACATTAAAAACTGAAGTTTGAAATTTAAAAAATGAAAAGGTACCTTAAATGTGAAATTAAAACTGCCAGTAGGTGGCAGCAAGTCACTGTTAAGGGAGTCATTGCGACTGAACCAAATCATTTAAACTGTTGATTCATTCAGGAACGAAACACCGTCCTGTTGCTCAGAGGCGCAAAACAGCGCTGTGGCTGTGTTTGGAATGATTTTTGTTGGAGAAATAGAGCAAAAACAGATAATATGGTGTCTAAAGCGTAAGTCTCTTAATATTAACTTCTTGTTTATTGAACTGTTGTATAAAATCAATCACATTTGTAATCATGCTGACTTTGAGGGAAAAAAACGCCACTCTTCGTGTGATATTAACAATATGAAATGATATAAATATATACATTTTCTACCCCATATCTTGAATTATGTGAATTCTAAATGCATTTTAATAGACTGATTCATGCAGTGAAAGAACACTCTAAATGTCACTAGTAATGTAACCTCACGTAATGTATGCATGCACTCTGTAGGTGTTTTGTTTGCTTTTCGCGATACTCAATATCAAATCACACATCGTTAAAACAACAATTACGATATTATCACAGATCAACGCACACCC